CTGGGTCCTCCCTTTTAATTTTTTAATGAGGGGCACTATGTGGCCCTTTTCCAGTTCACTGGTACCTGATTTGTCTCCCATGACTGCATGAATATCATTGGCAAATTCTGAGATCTCTTCCAGTTTCTTCAGTATCTTGGGATGAAGTTCTTTAGGGCCTGGTGACTTAAATTCATTCAGACCCATCATAAGCTTCTCTGATTGTCTCTTTCATTATTTCATCCCTTAACTTGTTCCCTTTAAGGAATATACAATCGTTTGAAACCAGTTCACACTAAGCGCTTATCATGCTGCCGTTACACTGAGATACTCAGTCCTTAAAATAATCCAATAAAGATTTTTTAAAGCTGCAGCCCTCCCCAACACTGTATGTCTCAGCGTACACAGTTAGTTCAGTAGGGAGTGGGGAGGAGAGGGATCACAGCCTCTGGAACAAGACGCTTTGCAGTTTGACTTTTTTTTTTTTAAATTACTGAGTTTTAAGGCCACCTGTGTTGTTTTTTCAGTGCTGAAAGTTGAAGTCTGATCACAGGGCCCTTTCCCCACTGCGTGAGAACGTGTTCCAATATTTTAGGTGTTATATTTAAGTGTCTCCTTTTGGCACCGTGGAGCTTATTTTTTTAAAAAAAAGCAAACTCCTCTAAAGTTTCTAGTTCTGGCTGCCTTGATCACTCACTGCAACAGATGGGGTGTCCACATTAACAGCTATGACTATGCTTTCTCCATCCTCTGTTTTGATACGTTTAAGTTCTTGCTGTTCCGACTGGTCTCCATTCTGGCGTTTTGTTGGAAGAGACGCCGATGCTGATGCATGGGTTGCTAACATATGCAAAGGACTTGCAGTAGCTGTAGAAAGACCGACAAAAAAGTTCAGAGTCCAAACCCATTTGAAACAGACAAGACAATAAAAGAGCTGAATCTGCCCTGTAATTAACTGCAATGGATTCCTTTATCGTTTTACCACAGTACAGGGGGCTAAATGAAATTAAGAGTTTATTGTCTTTGTCCAAAGATGACAATTCCTGCCCCAAGGAGCTTATATTTAAATTGATAAAATAAAGTCTTATAGATTTAATAAAAAAAGATACAGTAAAGGAAAGAAACTCTCTATTTGGCAGATGGAAAACCAAAGCCAGACAGATTAAGTGACCTAGCCCAAAATGACACCAAGAGCCTGTGGCAGGGCTGGGAAGTGAATTCAGGTCTCCTGGACCCTGGTTTGAAAGATTTAACCAGAGCCACATTTCCCCTCTGCCAACAATTATTCTGACAATTTTTTCCATGCAGGCATTTGCCAGAGGCTCAATTATTATTGGAAAACTTCCGCAAATGTGGTTCTGCTATATCCCACAACAAAGCTGGGGGTAGGGGGGAGGTTGTTTTGCCCATGTTAAAATGCGTCTGACCATGATGAACTCTAGTGCCCCCAAGCTTTGGGAAAGGATCTTGGGTAGCCCTGGTGTCAGGGATATGCCTTCTAGCATCCCTGGAAAGTGTGGCCAAGTTGCGAGACTGAAAATTCTCAGCTCGCACTTGCTCAACAAAGCCTTGTTTGAATTTGGCAGCTATGTTTTTCAGCCTGTCTGCACTGGGTGTGTCCCATTCCTTTTACATGGGCCACACTGCATATGCACCAGACTTTCCAGCAGGTGAATATGCGACAGCCCCCCTGTTAAGCAGACAACTGTTAACGGCGCCTCTCTTACAATCACAGGTCATCCTAGCACCAGAACCGAGAGCTGGGAGAGTTTCTGCTCTCTACTCTCACAGCTCCTCCTACTGTCACCTAGACAGTGAGGAGGAAGTGAGCTGACCAAGCTGCACCGAAGCAAAGCAGTGAGCCAGAACAGCATGCAACACATCCAGAACTGGAGTGAGGCTCTGGAAAGGAGACAAAGTCATCCTTCCACTGAAGCCCATGAAAAAATTAATCTGGTATCAAGTACAGGATTTGAAGGGCATACGCAATGCACAGAGCCAGGCAATGAATAAAAGAGATCTGACAGAACACTAAGTAATACATAAATTATCATCTCTTCTTGGAGTGCACCACACAGGCACATTATTGGGAAAACATGTAGGAGCTCCACTGCTCTCAGACCAAACAGTGTCTACTTCCATGTTCAAGAGTACAGGACCCAACTCTCTGACCTGCACTTAGCAAGTAGTAAGGGAGAAGGGGAATGCAGTTTTATGTCACTTTTACGTTGCCCCCAAAGGTAAGGCTACTCAGCTCCTAGCACAGGCTAGCATGGGCTGAAAGCTACTTGGCCAGTATAACTTTATTGGTGAATTTGCTGGATGATGCCTGAGTGTTGAAAGGGGCTGGGGTCCCTCCACGTGTCTTATTAGCTGCTGTGCACTTCATCTGACATAATTCAGGATTTCCTAGTTGCATCACTGCGTTTGGTGGCATCTGTATTTAGAACAGCTCTGTTGCACAATACCTGGATTTTTCTGCTGGAATATAATACACATACAAAGTACATTTGTGGTCCTGTGAGTAGAGTGGAGCTCATGTCCCAAGAGACTGTACACTCTCCCAGAACAGTTATCCTCCTACTCCTTTGTATTTAGGGGGAAGGAGAAAACCGCCCCTAGTCCTAGTACTATAATGTTCATACAAAATTACGCCAAGAGCCCCACAATCAGTACACACAGCTGCAGCTGTGACACACTTAAACACCTACTTCACATGAACAATGACATTATGAAGAGATGATAAATATACATTTCTGTAAAATAGCTCACATACTGTACTGGTGTTGTGCTAGAAAGTGCCAGTTATCAAGAAACTGCACCAAGTGACATACCCTTTGGGAAGGAGAAGGATAAAACAATTATTTGGTCACCAAAATGACCAAAGAATAACTGCACAGTGCGCTTCCTGCACCAAAAAAACCCAGCACCCAGCATGAACTACTACACAAAAGAAAAAGAACTCCAGTATCACCCTGAAAAGGAAGCTAGAAAATAAAAGCAGTATATGTTGGAAAATGAAAATGAAAATGAAGCAGGGATAAGGCTATCACCATGTGGTTTGTGAACTAAAGCATTTATAAAAACTATTTCAGAGTGTGAACAGCCTCTTGTTTGTTCTAAGAGGTGCTTTGTATCGATTTTCATTGATTTTAGTCACCCTTTAGGAAACTTAAAATTAACCTATTCTTAACTTCTAACAGGTCATATATGAAGTCTCCTATGGAGAACGTAGATTATTCTAAACTGGTTATGGAAGAGAATGCTTGTTTGCAATTATTTTATGTGGCCAGCAAACAATCTTTACACTTATCTTCCCAGTTAAGGCTGCATTCCTGGTACAAAATCCTGTGCTCTTGTCTGTCTGTATTTTTTGGCACATGAAGTCATTCAATTTCAAGTCAGAATCATCAGTAGCTCCCAATCAATAGTGCTCTGAATAGGCAGCAAAGAAATAATTACATCAGAAGAAAAGTTACCACTAGTTATTAACAACCTGTTTAAAAACTAGGAAATGGGAAGTTAATGCTCCACAAATCATCCTTACTACTACTCAGGTACCTAACTACTGTGCTCTCCATGTACAAGACACTGTTTTGCATCCCTGTTAGCTATTAGCATGTGAAAAGTAAGGAGAGTTAGTATGTTGTATATTAGGGAGTCTTTTTAATAGAATGAGCACTTGCTGCAACTTGGTGTAACGGGTCAGAGTAAGTGTATGGCTGTATAGGAGTGCTACAGTTTCAAATCTACACTGAAAATTAGAGTAAGGCAAGTCTACTTGTATAATTTTATTATAAACAGAAATGGTAGATTTAATTTCCCCCCCCCCCCCGCCTCCAATTTGAATCCTATGCTGAAATGCCAATGAAATGAAAGGCAATAAAGATCTATGGGCAGATATGTTAAGATCTGAAAATGCTATTTTTTGGCTACGAGGATAAAATATTAAAAAACAGCCGTTACGTTTTATTTTCTGTCTTTCAAACTGCCTGGGGTTTCTCCCCCTATCAGATATATATTTACAACCTTGACTTCCACTTAAAATGTTCTTTTTGTTTTCCTCTTGATAGGGGTGCACTGATAAGAGATTTTTTGGGCTGATGCTGATAGCCAATTGTTAAGGAGCCATAACGGTCAATACCAATCTGATATGCAGCCGGGGAGCTTAGAGACCAGCGGTGGGCTGGTAAGTCTGTTGCAGGGGAAGGGATGGGGGGAGGCAGATTGAGGTTCCTGTGGTGAAGGACGGAGTGGGGTCGGGGCAGGTGCTACACAGCTGGGGCGGGGCACAGGACAGAGCTACGAGTCTTATCCGGAGACTGCAGGGAGGGGGTGGCAGCTTTTGCCACTGCACGCACCCCGGGAGGGCACGGGGGGAGGGGTGCTCCTGGTTCTGCGTGTGGGGTGAGGGTGGGCTGGGGCAGGACTAGGTTCTCCCTGGCCAGGGCTGGGCCAGGCTTTGCTCGGGGTGGGTAGTGGCGACACCAGGAGGGAGCTACGGGGGGGCTGCAGCCACCCCAAAATTTACCATAGCCCCCCCCATAGCCCCACTCCCAGTGCCACCACTGCCCATCCCAAGTGCAGCTTGGCACAGCCCCCCTGCCGGGAAGAGCCCAGCACAGCGGCAGCCCACCCTGCCCCATGCAGATCTGAGGAGACACAACCCCCATGCCCTCCCAGGCTGCGTGCATTGTCAGAAGCTGCCCCCCAGATGAGCCGCTCGTGGCTCCGTCCCATGTCCTGCCCTGCTCTAGCTGAGCAGTGCCTGCCCCAGCCTCACTTCCTCCCTCATCATGGGGGCCTCCATCTGCCCCACCTCTCTCCCCCCACACCAGACTTACCAGCCAATGTTGCTCTCTAAGCCACTGGGCTACACACCAGCTGGGGCCGCGCACATGCACAGGGCATTTATCACCACGTTACAGGCCACGAGGCAAAAAAGCTGATTGCTGATACCCTCAATTTTTCCTGTATCAGTGCTGATCCAATATGGGACCAATGCATTAGTGCACCTCTACTTACTGAGCATTTAAAAGAATTGCTCTGACAACTGTTTTTGCAGCTGAACAGGCCCTGTAATTTGTGAAGTATTCATGTGATGCAAATACTCCTTACATTGTTGCGTTACTACTCCAGGCTATGTATTCCCATGACAGAGTTCTTTGCAAAATTCCAGGACCTGTAGAGAGCACTACTGGGTTTGTTAAGTTAATGGGTATCCTAGGGACAATATAAATAGTGAGAGACTATACCCACATCACTAAGATATCTGCCTAAGCTTCTTACAATCATCAAAAAGTTAGTAATTAACTTTCCTTGCCAATGATAACATATTTAATCAAATTCTGAGTCTAAATGAAAGAAAGGAATGGTGAACTTTTCAAAAATATGAAACTTGGGTTTTAAATGCATTTTAATTGACTTTTGACAAAATTTCCACTTCTTCCTTTATCAAAAACATTTATGAAATGTCATGCTGACTTGTTTCATTCTGGTGAAGTTCTGCACAAAGAATATGTGAAAAACTGGATCTATAAATGGAAAACTAGCTTAAGATTTCAACTACAAAGACTGCTTCTATTAAGAGGGATTTTGCATAACATATTCAGGCATAGACTAACAAGTAGACTACTTAAGACTAGATTCCCACACACACTGGGTATTCTTCATCGAACAGTCTGAGTCTTGCCTGAAGACAACAACGGTTCCTATATGAAGCCTCCTGTGGAGAGCTTAACTTATTCCAAGCAAGTGGAATAACAGGCAACTAGAACTACTTCTCTAAACCAGCTTATCAGCAGGTAGTTAGTTCAGTGACTGCTTTCTTGAAACTGTTAGCTTCAGAAAGCACAAGAAGAAGCTACTTTGGAGTTGCATCAAAAATCAGAAGAAATCAGAATTCTAAATCCCATTTTCAAAAGGGAACACTGGAAGTAGCAAAAATTTGCAAATGACAATATTTAGAAAGGGAGAGCAGTTATTTTACATGGGCCTCAAAGCCTACCAAATGGGCAACACCAACATGACTGAAAATGATGCACACTGGACAGAATAATCTGAACATTTTAGCATCCTAATACGACTGAAAAAGGACAGTGAACTCAAAATCTTCAATATGCAGTAGTAATAAAAAAACCCAGTTTTTAAATATTAGGATATAGGAGGATGGCATAGAAAATAATACTGTATTATACCTTGAATGTTGAGTACCTTGCAAGCAACTAAAAAACAAAAGTCTGGGACTTTAATGATTACAAACGTATTTCTGATCATTTTAAATATCATTTTTATCCATCTCTGACAAATTGGTGTTTCAAAAAAGGGTGCAAGGTCTCCTTAGCTTAAAAGGAAATGGGTAGTGAGAATTAGATTTACTTGCAAACCATACCAAAATCTGGACACATGACAGACACACATTTGTTCTGCCGCCCAATCAGGCTGCTTACTCAAGAACTGAGCGGATTGATGGTATTTAAGGCACACAGACAAGTACTATTCAAAACAACCCTCTGAAATTCTTGCAGATTTTAAAATTGTTTCTGCCTAAACCTGTGAGAAAACGAAAGAAGAAAATCTGCATTCTCTTGCATACAACATGCTCCTGATTAAGAGCATGCCTTGTTTTTGAAAGAACGAAGGAAAAAAGTTTTCCTTAAAAAACCTCATAAGTATGGTATTTTCCCTGGGAAAAATACAGGCAGCTTTAATGGGAAGGCTGGGAGGCAGGCAGGGCAGAGAAATATTGTGGCTCCTCTGTTAACCACATAAGCCACTGCTGGGTAAAAAAGAAAGTGTCCATTGCTAGCAGCTAGGGAGCCCCCTTTTGCAGCACTTGCAACATTCATTTTCTCTTTCCCCACCAGAGGCATGTGGAGCAGAAACTGTTACCATATTTCCTTGCCTGAAATGTGCACCTGAATTTCCAGCAGCTGATTTTTGGGAAAAAGGTGTGTATGCTCCACAAACAAGTCCTGCATTTTGTTTGATCTCTAATTTGCACAAAGACGCGCTTGCCATTTTAATTGTGTCAGTTCCCACAAAAAAGAGGTGGTAAGTTTTCAAGAGCTACAAAAACATTAAGAAGTGATGTTTAGACTGTGTTTGATTTGGGGCTTGTCATCCTTGATGCTGTCCTTTAAATGATTCCAACTAATGAACAAAGATGCCAACCGTCAACCAAAGATACAAGGCTGCAGGTTGCCGTCTCTGCAACTTTAGCAGCTTTTTGTAGGAGTGCAAAGGTCTGAGAAAGGAATTAAGTAAGATTTAACAATGGCTGTTCTGAAAAGTCTAATACTTATCTGAATAATCTGAAGCCAGCTCTGACACCAGAAAAGTTTGTCTACAGGAAATAATGATGAAATGCTTACCAGTGTTGCCTTGCCCTTGTATCGCTGTGGTGATAGGTACTATGTGTGTTCCATTCTGTGTTACAGTTTTTATTGGTAGCTGGTGTTGACCTAGTGGTGCCTGTTGCACTATAGTAACTGTCTGTAAGGGCGTGGTCTGAGATGTCTGAATGATGCGGCTAGCAGCTCCTATTGTAGCATGGCTAATAGCAGGGATAGGTTCCACTTTAACTGCAAAACAACAAAAAATGATTTAAAATGTAACGGTAAGTCAAGAAACCTTAACACAAAACATGAAGTGATTAAGTTATTTTAGTCTTCAATGTGTTATTAATAACCTCAAATAGCTGAAAAGGCAAAAGTTCTCATTTTAGCTAATTTTTTTGGTTTTCTTCGCTGCATCTATGAAGATTTTTTAAAGGCTATTAAACAATTATATGTATTCACAGAAGACTAACCAAGCTCAGCTAATTCTTACCTTTTACTTCTTTGTGGTCTCCATTCTCTTGAGGTTCTACCTTAGGCTGGGTTACCATTGCAGCTTGTGTGACCACTGCCTGTCCAGCTACAGTATAAGTGTTTGCTGGTGCTAATCCAGTCACATTCGTGACAGACACAGCTGGTATCTGGTGAACAACATGAACGGTTTGAACTACAGGCTGCTGGGATGTTGATGTTGTCACAGGAGTTGCAACAGTATAGGTGACAGGTTTAATAGTTTGTGGTAGCTGCCGTTGTACAGTAATTAAAACTGGTTGGCTAGATAGAGGTGATCCTATTGAGAAAAGTAGAAAAATTAGACTGGCACCTTGAATCAAGTATTTTCTCAGCCAATCATCCTCTTAAATCTCAACAGACACTGAAGCCTCATAACATTAAAAAATCCTGTGTGTATCCTTTACTAGTTACTATGATGATAAAAAAGCTAAAACTGGATAATAAGAGACTGTTATGGCACTTCACAGTATTAAGCCATGTAAACATTTTGGGTGGCAGAACCTGTAATGGAGACCTGGCCTTAGCTTGCAGGGTTCTGAGGGTCCAACTGCTATTGCTAACTCAAGGTATCTTTACATAAAACCTAACATTTACAGGGGTCTTCAACTTGCTGTAAGAAGAAGACATGTCATCATTAGGCAAATGAGTAACTAGAACACAAGAAAACTATCAACACAATTCTTAACACCACATGCACGCAGCTAAATGCAGTGGCAGAAAAACCTTTAAGATTCAACAACTCTCTCATTCTGATTCTCTTCCACTCCACTCCCCCACTAGAACAAGGGTGAAATGACTGCAGATTTACTATCCTTAAGCAAAGTATTTACTGAGCACATGAACCCATGATCCAGATTGCATTAGTTTTCACCAGTTCATCCCTAATGGACTTTTTTATGCATATTTCTGCTCTACCTGTGAAGACAACCATTACTCAATAAAACTTAAAGTAATTTTCCAGAGTGAGTCATGACAACGATAAGACCCTACACTTTCATACCTCAGAAGGAACTACTGCCTCCGCTTACCCACACAATGTATAACTATGCTGGAACAAAACGTGTATAACAGAAAGAAAATGGCTAATACATCTGATACATTTTCAGGAAATATTTACACATATTTATGCATTTGTCCCTGCATTGCCTTACATTTTAATAGGTTATCTGTCTGAAAATATGAACTGCTTTCTTGGTTAGGTGTGAGAATTTTGCTCAAAAAAGGAAAAAAAAAAAAACATTCCCCCCCCCCACAAAAAATATTCTTTCTAGATTTCTCACCTGGGGCACTCTGTGCAAACCGTGCTTCTTGTATTACTGCTAATTTTGGCTGGATAGCACTAGGTTCAGGTTCCATTGGGACTGGAGATCCTTCCCTTGACAGGCTTTCTGGGGTCTGTACTCCACTGGAGTGTGCAGATAACACTCCAGAATGATTAGGAGAAGCTGGGGCACTTCTGTATTTAAAAATGAAAGCAGCAGCTGGTGTGTTTTATGTTAATAACTAAACGATGAGTGACCTCACCTCTAAAATACTGTAATATATGTACTGTCCATGAGAGGGCACCTTTTGCCTTCTGCCAAATCAATACCACCATATATTATTTTGATGCTATGGAATTGAACATTTGGGCATTTTCTTATGTGAAGTTTCTAAGCAATCCATGCAACAGTACAAATGTTTGTTCTGGAGGGGCAGAATGATGATCAGCTGTTTAAAGGTTAATTCAAAAGAAGCCAACAAAAGCAGAAAGGGACATAATCTTTACAGAGCAAGATCACTAAATCTATATATTATTTCACCATTAAGAATATTGGTTAATATTACCCAACTAAACACATTTGTCACCTGCACCTTAATATAAAACTGTCAGCTGAGATTTGGTATTTTCTCTATAAACAGTTTTAAATGAAAGTGGATAAAAGTTAGTAATAATTACCATTTTAATTTTGTAACACTGCAGTACAGAAATATCTCCATACATTAACAAGCTGCCAATTACTTATCTAAATTGAGTCAGTTCATTAACACTAAATCAAGCAATAAAAACAGGCCCACTGCATGGGAGCAGCCTAACTAGTGAATTTCACAGAATTCAACCACACCAAATTTTATATTAAATAATTAAACTTGTAAACAAAGCTCTCAAGTTTGTAACAGCCTGAAGGTTAAGTAACAGCCATAGTCTTTCGGTTCATCTGTTTTTCCTTACCTAGAAGAGAGTGGTCCCAGAGGGGTTCTAAAGCAAGGTACTCCCCTAGGCCGCCTTTTCCTAAAAGCCTGCTCTATTAATTTGCTTTCAGAGGCAGGATCTATCCTCCAGAACGAGCCTTTGCCTGGTTCTTCCTGGGAACGTGGTACTTTGATGAAATAACGATTCAGAGAGAGATTGTGGCGTATTGAATTCTATGGAACATAAGAAAAATATGTAGAATTCATACATCTGAAATCAGAGTGTGGCCAAGTGCAGTAGTCTGTAATACAGGAGACTCAGGGTTCAGGTCTCTGATTCTCTAAAGATAGTAGGAATTAAGGAGGGCTACAGAGACAGTTGTGCTGAACCTGAAAAAAGGAATCTTAAGTACTGCTTAGACCTCTCATAACAATTAAAGAACAATATTAATGAGCTACTAAGGGAATTCCATTTCAGTCCTCTAGTGAGAAGGATGGTAACCACAACAGAGCTTTACATTTTTTTATTATTATTTTTTAAAACTTTTTTTAAACAGTTGTCTGGGTATAAAAGCAGCAAATAACAAAGAACTACTGGTGCTCACGCATCCTGCTTCTCAAAGGGAAAAAAGGTCAGGCTGTTCCCATTGGGCTTCTAAAACATACTGTATACTGATTCTGATACAGATCTGGCACAATATGCTATTTACTATTCCATAGTAAGAAAAGCAAATGTTAGGTTGGAGAAATTATAAATGCAGCTATATACTTGGGAGTTACCATTCGTCATCAGAGGACAAAAATGGGGAGAATGCTCTTAGCAACTTCTCAATTCCAAATTATTCTTCCCCAGTCCAGGGAAAGATACCCATCATTTGATACTCTCATTAAATAAATCAAAGGATTTAGTGAACTAAGGAAAAACACTAAATGACAATGACTTCTAATATAGTTCTCCAATATAAACAAAGATCTTCAGATTATGTTACAGACTGCACCCTTACCATATCCCCAATTTGCAATGGCACAAAGTAAACTGAACTTCCACTTGGATAGAGATGCATGAAACAGCCAGTTTTGAAGCTAACAGAACCAAGTCTGTCCTTGGTTTCATGCATCCCCTATAGAGACGCATCATATCTCGATCTTTCTGATTTTGATTACCGAGGCAGAAAAAACAAATAGGACTACACACTAACAGTACCTCTGATATGCTGAACGTTAACACAAACAGCTGGCAGGGAAAATTTAACTTTTAAAATCAAAACTCTTCCAAACCCTCCAAATTAACTGCCAATCCAATGTCAGTTCAGCCTTTTAAACACCTCAGTCATGACCTTAGCAGCAGGTCTGGAGAACTTAAAGCAATGATACCCTTGTACGGTTTCTTCAGTGCAATCTGATGCAACCAGAAGTTGTTTCCCTTGCCAAAGACTGAAACAGAATGGCCAGAAGGTGCCAAGACTTTAAGTTTATCACAGTTGTATTTACATCTCCATCTGCTCGAAGAGAAGACTAAATCCAACACTTCTAACCTGGATGCAAAGTAACCCCCAGAATGAATTCACTGTGATGAATCCTCAACAAAACAGGCTTTTATATAATAGAAAGAATCAAATATTTGTGAGATTGTAGATAAACATATTTAATCTTAAACACCTACATTTCTAAAACTGCGATCAAATGCCTGAAACTTGGAAGTTGAATGAAAAAATGAGATAAGCTACCTAGCATCATAGTAATATTCTACATGACTACCAAACAAAATACCTACACAGCTACTTCATTTTATACCTTCCTATTTCTTTTTATGAATAAGGGTGAACTTTTTATCAATTCTCTGAAATGAAGATGCATCCTGTGTCTGCAATTTTATTTCTGCAAAGTATTACACATTTAAATGCTTGATTTTTATACTACAAACCATAATGCAGATTACAGATGAACACATTATGCTGTATCAATCAACCAGATTTTCTGGGAAAAAAATGCAATATATAGACCAGATAAGTAAAATTTAAGGATTATGTTAAAAATAAACGGTACGCAAAAATATTTTAACACTAGCTTCTACTGCCAGGGTAGAATCTACATATATATAGAATCTACATATATATACGGTATGCAAGCAGAAGACCATATTACATGAAAGAGAAAAAATGTACGCATACAGCTTGAGCAGTTTACTGAACACAGACTACCCAGAGCCAAAGTTGAGAAAGGGGAAGGCCTCAGGCAGTGGAATCCCTGGTGAGAAGCCCAGAAGTCCGATATTTTCAGCTACTGGGAATAAGAAGAGTGTACTATTTTTATATAGCCTCTAGGGCTAGTAGTTCTGTGATAAATCTGAAATGTCAATTCCCCTTTACTGCTGCAAAGGTGAAGGAGCATATTCTTTAACTTACTAGTTGCATGGTAAGTAGAAAGTAGTTCTTTGTTACTTAACCCTCCCCCATCTCTCTCAGTTGCCCTGTAAATAACTTCAGTGTCTGTTTCGACTGCAGATCATAACTCTGCTAAGCAGCAGCACAGCGAAACCGATATGACCTGAATGACATTGTAGTTGCAGTGTTGCCCACAGGATCCTGAATAGCAACTACGAACTGACCGGTTTTGCTAATTGCTCTCTACCCTCCCTTGGTAAAACTAAAAGTAACAGCAGAGGCACTGAATTTGTACCTCTGCATGCTTAGGAAAAACATACGGAATTGGGCTAAACATTTGATCATCCAGTAGCGGGCTGCGGTCAAAATCTGCTTTAAAAAAAAAGAAGAAGAAATCTTAAGTTTTGAAGCAATTGATGGCTTAGCTTGTTAAGATTTAATATAGTTAGAGAGAGCGAATTGGCAAATGGCGTTTAATTTGCACACATCCAAAAATAAAAATGAGGCAAGACAAATTCAAGCAAACTGTGTGTACCTGTAACAGTGTCACATGATCAAGGCCACAACTTTCAACAGGCTTGGATTCAGATAATTAGGGATCTCATTTTGGTTTGCTGAGGTAGTATTACATACGTAGTAATTCAAACAGAATACAATTTTCTTGTGGTGCAAATACACCTTAAACCACTGATTATAGTATTTTTATCCTACCAGTGATTATAGTATTTTTATCCCATGGAAAACCATTATCGTCCTCCTACTGGAGTTACATGGAATAACCTTGTTGAAAAACTGAAGGTGCATTTCACCTTGTAGAGTCAGAGATGCTTCTGTATCTTCACACACTTTTATAACCCATTCAAGTCACCCCAACACCTTTGGAAGGCTTGTCAGGTTCATTAGATATAACCAATATAAACAAAACAAGTTACCTTGGTATACTGGCTGATATGCCTGTTGGCTACATTGGAATTTTTATTCACAGCTTAAAATCAACCACCACAAAAGCCCCACACACATACAAAATCAGATTTACCTGCCAGCCCTTGTCTGCTGTTCTGTAGTATGGATAATTTTTAGTTATGTGCGTATAAATTCCATTTAGTGTAAGCTGCTTATCAGGTGCCATTGTAATTGCTTGTACTATTAGTTGTGCATAGGAATAAGGTGGCTTTGAGTCATCCTATAAAAAACAAAAACAAACCATATGCACCAGTGAACTTAACAATTGTATAAACCTTTACTAAATTCACAAAATGCAATTAATTTAATTTTTCAACACTTTTTGGTGAAAATCTCAAAAAGAATGAACTAAAACAGACTTCCAATTAGGAAAATTTAAGATAACACTGGAAACCATGAGAAACTAACACCAGATTTAAGTAAGTCCGACTCTGCTAACACCTAAAAATGGGTATGCATAACGGATACAAAAATTTCAATGTAGGTTTATATCAAAAGAAAATCAACACACACGACGCATCTAATTACAAAAGGGCTCTGACTCCAAAATTGGTTTTCAATTACTAAGTGCCAAATCATATCTGGGTCCATGTACTTTGGCCAACAGATTTCCAACAATGTTACGTTTGGCTTAAGGCTTTATTTTGTGATTCAATTCCAAGCAACATTTACCTTTGGGCTATCTCCACCCGATGCTTCCTTGTCATTTTCTGACTGTGAATTGTCAGCCATTAAATGTAGGTCAGATGGTATTACACGACTCATTTTGTACCCTGAAGAGCCTGCACCACGGGGGCTAGATGGGCAGGAATTTGCAGCACTGTGGAACACAAAAACAGGATCCTACTATTTTGTTATACAGTATATCACCACATTACTTCTAATCAAAAAGCTCTTATTACAGGAAAACCCACTAGAGCTCCTAGACTGTAGTCAAGACTCTGTCAGATTATAAATGCTTAGAAAACAAGATTTATAACTCAGCTGTAAGAATTACAATCACTGCAGGAAGAATCCTGTCAAATGAAGTTCCAGACACTCCTCTTCAAAGAGCAAAGAAGGATCAATTGTTTTGTTAGGCTATGTACATGAAAGCTTTGCTGATTGCGACGTCCATTGTATTTGGAATTTATAAAACCCAAAATTTGGGATACTCATTTGGCTCTCCTATCTGAAATTTTTCAGAGATAGATCCTGCATCAGATTTGCACCAGATGTTTGTGTTTAGCCTGCTAAAGAAAACTACTGTTGCCATATTTCTGGGACAGGATGCAATTGTGGGGTTGCAAAAATGTAACAACAATAAGGCACAAGTAACAGTTTTTATTGATTCTTACTTATTTAAAATCAGTTTCATCTAAAGTACGTGACAGAATTATCATAACTGCCCTGTTTTAGCATTGCTTAGTTTTATGTGAAACAATAACATAATAGAAATAATGTATAAGACTTTTACCGCTGGTTTGTATGGCCCCTTCTGGTGAATGTGTAGCAGGACCCCAGCAGGGCTGGGGCCAGTTCAAGGCTGTGTGGTCCCTGGCCAGAACTAACATCAGCTGGCTGTCAGTTCCAGACCTGCAGGCACCTTGCTTTCAAACTGCTAGTGCAGGAAGAGCCCAGGGTAATGAAGCTCCCCTCAACTGCTCCTCCTAGCCCCCAATGGCAAGTAGGAAGAGCACAACTGGGATCTGATCTTTAACCGCAAAAGTGCGCCTCCTGCTAAGCGTGTGTGGCATAGCAGGAGGCATGATTGCTGGGATTAGGGATCAATCCAATTGCACCCTGAAATGAATGCATGGCCCTCCTTCCTCCAGGTGAATTGTGGCAAACAGTTCACTTCAAAAGAAAACTACTGTGCTTGTACCACAACTAATAGACATAGATGGCACGTGTTACAGTATTTATGATGGCAGGTAAGCCATACCCAATGCACGTAGTAAAACAACAACAAAAGCAAAACCCTTTTACACTAATTTTCTGTGAAAAGCCACAGGTGGTAAACTGAAGAGCTACTTTTGTAGTTGAGAAGCTAAAGTATCACTGGACTCCTAGCACTGAAAATCGGCTTGCACCATAGCATTTTCCCCAGGTTTTTGTTTTTTCAGCTTCTACAGCAGTGGTCTCCAAAGTGGGGTGCGTGCACCCCAGGGGGTGCACAAGATGATCCACTGGGGTGCGGGAAGAAAATATCAGAACTTCTATTTATATTTATATAAATATACATATATTGGGGGTGCGTGCTCAAAAATTTTTTTTTTTACTGATAGGGGTACGCGATCAAAAAAGTTTGAAGACCACTGTTCTATAGCACAGCTGTCCAACTTCTAAGCAGCTATGGGTCATACCAGTGGGGGTCATGGGCCCGTAGGCCACATGCCAAATGGATGCCCCCTTTTGTTGCACCATGCAACATGGAACATGACCTCCCCCATTGCACAATACTGAGCACCTGCCCCACTGCAGGGCCCCAGTCTTACCCTGAGCACCCTGTGCCATGTCACCCAGCAAACACAGAACACAAGCTGTAGGCAGGAGACAAAGCCTGGAGAGTTGCAGCTGGACAGCAGAGCCTGGGGGCTGCAACTTAACCCCTTGCAGGCCACATGTAGGCAGTTGGACTGTTCTACAGTGCACTTGAATGTCAGTGGGCAACATTTTTCTTTATTTGGATACTTTCATGTCAGGAAACAGACCTCAGAAATGTTTACATATTGAGTGCAATAAATTCTGCCCTCAGCAGAACCAAAAAAGGTAAACGTGAAAAAATAAAGCAAGAAACAGAGATGGTAACATACACTTCTTCGGAGATTGTGACATACAAAAAACACAATTTTTTTTTTAAAGAAAAATTTACGGTTGCTACAATTCTAGCACCTGGGATTTGCTCTTACTGGATTGCCCAGGAGGGGAGAATATTGTATGGAAAAGACTCTGGTTTTGCCGACAGAGAGCCAAAGGGTCAGGACAACTTTTTGAAAATATAGGTCACTGCTGTGCTATGTTAGGTTTTGCACATATCAACTGACAGTATCCCTTTACTTAGCTCACTATGCCACATACTGACACACTAACATAGTAATCAAAGCAAGTTGATGAGTCCACTACAAAACAAGATGTTTTAAGGAGAATGTCAAGCTCTAATTCAAATTCAAAACTACTATCTTCTTTAACTATAGTTTAATACTTATTTGAAAAGCTTGAAAGACAACTACAGTATTTGTGGTAATGCAAAGACACAGGTGATATAAATGACACAATACTTGAAATATTTACACACTGTGGGTCATTTAATGGGCAAAATATATTTTTCCTGGGGTGTATTTTTTTTCACCTCTTACATAAACCAAGTATAAGCCTCACACTATTATCACTGCTACCTTGGAAAAAAACCCTTTTATTAACAGAATTCATTCATCTCTAAACGTAGGCTTCATTAATGGGATCCAATATTAAAAGTAGAAACACAATTAAATATATTAGCTTTAAATTCCTTGACTTAAGTAGATCTAACAATCTGAAAAGAACAAGCAGAATTTTCAAAAACTTTTAAATGACTTAGGAGTACAAGACCCAGACATTTTCATTTGGACTCCTGCTCCTAAAACACTGGAGTTTTTTAAAATTCTATCCACATTTCTTTTACACCAGAGAGAAAAAGAGTGATTAATTTTGTATATAATATTTATGTACATATGTACGTAATTAACCAACACATCTAAACTGGCAGATTCAAGTTAACAGATTGAGTGACCTAGACAAATTGGAGGATTGGGCCAAAAGGAATCTCATGAGGTTCAACAAGGACAAGTGCAAAGTCTTGCACTTTGGATGGAACAATTCCATGTGCCAGTGCAGGCTGGGGACTGAGTGCCTGGGCAGCAGCTCCGCAGAAAAGGACCTGGGGGTTACGGTGGACAATAAACTGAATATGAACCAGCAGCGTGCCCTCATTGCCAAGAAGGCTAACCACATACTGGGCTGCATTGGTAGGTCTGCTGCCAGCAGGTTAAGGGAAATGATTATTCCCCTCTATTTAGCACTGGTGAGGTCACATCTGCAGTACTGTGTTCAGTTTTGGGCCCCCCACTACAGAAAGGATTTAGACAAATTGAAGAGCATCCAGAGGAGGGCGACAAAAATGGTGAGGGGTGTTGGGAGACATGATTTATGAGGAAAGACTGAGGCAACTGGGCTTATTTGGTTTAGAGAAAAGGAGACTGAGGGGACTTAATAGCAGCCTTCAACTACCTCAAAGGGGGTTCAAAAGAGGATGGAGCTAGATTGTTCTCAGTGAGGACAGATGACAGAACAAGGAGCAATGGTCTCAAGTTGCAGCAAGGG